TGCTCTGAGGCTGAAAGCAACTAAACGGCCAAATGGGATCATGTGGAGCTTCTTGTCCTTCTGACCCGAGAAAGTCAAGCGTCACATGTTTTCTTGTGTCTTCTTTCTACCTTTTCTAGTTATGACTAAAACAGGGGCTAAACTAGGCCACGGTCCTGCTGCCTCCATCAAAACACGCTATGGCCTTAAGACGAAAAGGTGCAACTTCCTTTATGACTCGTGGGCATGGGGTCATCCCTCAATGTTTATTGGGCTCTTGACATAAATGATGACCCTGCAAACAGTTACTGGGTGCTTCCTGCGGGCCAGCATTGCGCTAAGCAATGTACAGGCACCATCTTATTTCAGCATTTCAACCACCTTGTGAGGAAAGGAAGTATGATTTTTACCATCATTTTCCAGGTGAGAAAAACTAGCCTCAGAAAGTTACGAAGCTGATCACACAGCTCATCTGCAGTGGTGTTGGAATGTAGACTCAAATATTTCACACTCCGGTTACAATACTGCGTTCCCGAGACTTGTAAATTCAGTCCAGTTGTGAAGTGCAAAGTCTAACTTGGACTGGTGATGTGGCTTGGCTCTACCTAAATCTTACCTTGAGCTGTAGTAATCCCTACGCGTCATGGGAGGGACCCGGTGGGAGGTAATTGAATCATGAGGGCAGGTTTTTCATGTGCTATTCTCATGATAGTGAATAACTCTCATGAGACCTGATGGTTTTTTAAAGGGGAGCTCCCCTACATAAGCTCTCTTGCCTGCTGCCATAGAAGACGTGTCTTGCTACCCCTTTGCCTTCCACCATGATTGTGAGGCCTCCCGAGCCACGTAGAACTGTGAGTCATTCCTTTATAAATTACCCAGTTTGGGGTATGTCTTTATTAGCAGCATGAGAACAGACTAATGTAACTGGTCTTTGGGCAACAGACAAACCTATAACACCAGTCTCGGCTTCTTTTTTTTTTTTTTTTAGATGGAGCCTCACTTTGTCACTCAGGCTGGAGTGCAGTGGCATGATCTCAGCTCACTGCAACCTCTGCCTCTCAGGTTCAAGTGATTCTCGTGTCTCAGCCTTCTGAGTAGCTGGGATTACAGGCGCCTGCCACCATGCCCAGCTAATTTTTGTATTTTTACTGGAGATGACGTTTCGTCATGTTGACCATGTTGGTCTCAAACTCCTGACCTCGCCTGATCCACTTGCCTTGGCCTCCCAAAGTGCTGGGATTACAGGCGTGAGCCACCACACCCAGCCTAGTCCTCTTTTGAGGAAGTAGAAAAGTCATCCTTAGACAATCTCTGTCAATACATTATTAAAAGGTAAACTTAGTGTAAGTTTACCAGTTGCTGACAGACACTGAACTTATTTGGCCTGGGTTTTTCTCTACAAGCTGTGTTTTCCCACTTCCATGTTGTACCCAGGAATTATGACATTGAACCATCTGAAGTCGAGGTTATTGTAGGTCATTACCCAGAGACTATCAGCAATTTCATGTGACTCAACCTAATCACAGACACTGCAGCTTGAGAAGCCTTTACTATCTTCACCACCCCATCTCCCCAGTCCCTCAAGCAATAATTCCTTCTGCCCCAGTTTTACCCTCACTTCAAGTTATGGCTAAAATAATGCCACCTGGAGGCAGTGTTTCCTGAACTTCCACAGCACCTGATTTGTACCTCTCGTCACTATCTTCTTGACATCTTGGTTATTTGTGTGTATGTGTGCACGCTTTTGCCTGGTCAAGGACCCATGTTTAATTTTTTTTTTTTTTTGAGACGAAGTTTCACTCTTGTTGCCCAGGCTGGAGTGCAACGGTGCGATCTCAGCTCATTGCAACCTCCGTCTCCCAGGTTCAAGCGATTCTCCTGCCTCAGCCTCCCGAGTAGCTGGGATTACAGGCACCCACCACCATGCCTGGCTAATTTTTTGCATTTTTAGTAGAGATGGGGTTTCACCATGTTAGCCAGGCTGGTCTTGAACTCCTGACCTCAGGTGATCTGCCCACCTTGGCCTCCCAAACTGCTGGGATTATAGGCATGAGCCACCGTGCCTGGCCAGCCATGTCTAATTTATTCCTGTCAGCTCTTAATATCTGGCACACAGTAGTAGCTAAGAGTTGACTGAGCTCAGCCGTGTGACTTTCTGCTCTTGTGGTGGCAGTATATCTATCCCAGGTCTTCACACTCTAGCTTGTGGGATAATCTGAGCAGAAAATGAGGAATGGGGTGTAATCCTCCCAGTTCCTCCCATCATCACTCCTGTTCCCTCCCAGGAAGAGCGTGGTGAGGGGCACCTCTGGCCCCACTTGGGTGGAGAGGCACTGAGGAGCCCTGCGTGAGATTGAATGAAAAGCTCAGGTGAGGATGACTTTAGATGTCCCAGGGACAGGACCTTCTTAATGTCATTCTACCCCAGAGAAACATCTCCCGAATCTGGCTGATTGGCAGAGCCACAGCCTCAGTTTTGGTCACCGCCTCATGTGCGGTCTCAGGAAGTGGTGTGCTGGCAGGGGCTCTGCATTTTCCCCATCGACGACATTCTGGAACGGATCCCCTGGCAGCCCTTCCCTCCCAGGCTTGATTACAGTGGAAGGGATTGTGAATCTGTATTTCCTCCAGAGAGGCGAAATCCACACAAACTGAGTCGGCTTCGTCTCTAGAAAATGTTGATGGTGGAAGACCACAGGCTCTTGAGTAGCTCATCTCAAACCACCAGAGCTGTGGCTTCCTCTTGGTATCTCCTGGCTTAAAAGCAAGACAGGAAAAGTGGGAAGCCAGGATTTGAAGTGGCTGGCAGTCTCCGTCTCTTTGTGGGCAACTATCCACTGCAGACTCCAGATTTGGCGCAGTGGAGCCAGCGTGTGGGAGACATGGGGCGCGGGGGAGAACACAGGCGGAGGCGGAGGGCTGCCAGGTGGGTGCTCCAGCACCAGCTGTGCGGCCTGGGCAGCAGGGCCCCTCCTGGTCATGCTGCACCTCACTTTCACCACCTCTCCTGTCTGCCGGCCTCAAGTGAGAACGCAGATGGTGAAGGCAATACCGTTGAAAGCAATTTCAGGGGCACAAAACTCAACCGCAAACACACATAAGAAAGTACTTAGAAAAATCATAAAGAGCTGCAGGAATGTAAGGAATCAATATTATCCACTCACTCCTTAACTCATTTACTGAATGCCTAGGAGATGCTGGGCAGCGTGGGTAGTGCCCAGACAGAGATGAACGCTCCTGATCCTCAAGGAAGTCAAACGGCAGTGGGGAGATTGACATAAAGACAAGAGGAACAACCAACGCTAAGCAAAGACACAGGCGTGAGGGCATGCAGGAGCCCGCCAGAGACTGCGTATTGAGGAGCGGTAAGGTGGCAGGGGTGACGGGGGCAAGACGTAGTGGAAGAACCAGTGATCAACGAGGAATACAAAATATGGAAAAAGAATGCTCCTTTTCTTTATGATTTGGTGATGACCCATGCTCCGGAGTGCCCCAGCCTAACTGCCCAGTGGCTTCCAGATGTAACCAGAAGGGAAAGATTTCAGCATTCATTGACTTGTGCTGGGGACACACACATTGGATGAACAAAACCATCTTGTGATAGCCAGCGTGCAACTCCCTAATGATGATGTTCAGGTTGACGCATCACACTATGACAGTGAGAAAGGAGAATGTGGAGGTTTTGGTTCAGTTAGTGGAAAAATTGAAATGGAAATCAAGATCAGCCATGAACGAGAAGTAAACAGGGCTCGTTCTATGCCCCGGAACCCTTGTATCATTGCAACAGACTCCTTCCAGTGATGTTTTGTCTTCGACTATACAAAACATCCTTCTAAACCAGATCCTTCTGGAGAATGCAACCCAGATTTGTGTCTCCGTGGACAGCAGAAGGAAGGCTATGGGCTTTCTTGGAACCCAAATCTCAGTGGGCACTTGCTTAGTGCTTCAGATGACCACACCATCTGCCTGTGGGACATCAGTGCCGTTCCAAAGGAGGGAAAAGTGGTGGATGCGAAGACCATCTTTACAGGGCCTACAGCAGTGGTAGATGTTTCCTGGCATCTGCTCCACGAGTCTCTGTTTGGGTCAGTGGCTGATGATCAGAAACTTATGATTTGGGATACTCGTTCAAACAATACTTCCAAACCAAGCCACTCAGTTGACACTCACACTGCTGAAGTGAACTGCCTCTCTTTCAATCCTTATAGTGAGGTTCATTCTTGCCACAGGATCAGCTGACAAGACTGTTGCTTTGTGGGATCTGAGAAATCTGAAACTTAAGTTGCATTCCTTTGAATCACATAAGGATGAAATATTCCAGGTTCAGTGGTCACCTCACAATGAGACTATTTTGGCTTCCAGTGGTACTGATCGCAGACTGACTGTCTGGGATTTAAGTAAAATTGGAGAACAATCCCCAGAAGATGCAGAAGACGGGCCACCAGAGTTGTTGTTTATTCATGGTGGCCACATTGCCAAGATATCTGATTTATCCTGGAATCCCAGTGAGCCTTGGGTGTTCTGTATCAGAAACTAATATCATGCAAGTGTGACAAATGGCAGAGAACGTTTATAATGATGAAGACCCTGAAGGAAGCGTCGATCCGGAAGGACAGGGGTCCTAGATGTGTATGTCTTTACTTCTTGCGATTTTAGACTCCGCTTTTTTCTTCTCAATCCTGAGAGTGATTTAACACTGGTTTTGAGCCACAGACTTTGTTCAGCTGTCCCTCTATATAATAGGTACCATCAGTAATGCCATTAGCCCAAACAGTGGCTGTTTTCTAAATATTAATAGGGGAGGGGGGCTTGATTCAGCAAAGCCACAGACTTACATTGAAATTTTCTTCGGGAATTTTCTAGTAAAAAACCCAGGTCGAAAGTAGCTACAGAAAGGGGAACATTATGTGTGATTATTTTTCTTACGCTATATTCCCATGTTTTTCAGACTCATTTAAGTAAAGGCTAGAATGAATAAGGAACAGAGCCAAAATAAGGTAGGTGTCTGAGCCATGAAGTATAAATACTGAAACTTGTCACTTTTATTCAGGAAATAGGGGAGATTCAAGTCATATAGATTCCTACTCAAATCTTGACACCTGACTTTGCAGGATGCACATTTTCATACGTAGACCAGTTTCTACATAAAAAAAAAAAAAAATAAAACCATCATTCTCATATTTATCAAAACTTCACACTTCTAACAAATACTGAAGGAGACAACTATCTATCATTGTTATAACTTCAAAGGCAAAACAGGAACACAAATCAGAATTAAGATAAACGTCAGAAAATGTTCAGAATGTACACATCTGTGTGCATTTCCAGCCAAACTTTCAAAGATTCCACATATAGCCAAATGACAACGTAGAATCAAAATGAATGTCAAAAATATTCAAGCTTTCTGACAGACTTACTCTCATAAAGCAAGAAAAAGAGAGTAAATAACGAGCAGTATATTTCTCAGAGGGAGGGAAATCACACCCTTTATCATAAAACAAAAGTTGAGACAGCATTTCAATAACACTGGCCAAGTTATTCACTATTCTTTTCAAGTTTTGTCTTTAAAATGTGTTCATTTACATATTCAGGTTAAATTGTTTATTAATCAAAAACAATTTTACTCAGAATTTTAACCTTGAGAAATATAAATCATAACTTATTAAAGCATATTCCGAACACTATACAATAATCCTGCCATTTTAGTTTTTGTGTGCCTCATCTGAAAAACTTACTTTACAACCAGGAGTTCTGCTATCTATCTCCAGAGTAAATGTCTCTGTCAAAACTTCAGGTGGCCATCAAAAAGACGGATTCAGATAACCTTTTGCACGCTGCTTCATGGGGCTCTGATAAATACAGACCACCTGGTGGTGTAGCACCATCTTCCTCTTCAGTTACAGTCTCTACGGCCCCAGAGCGGACACGGTAACCATTGTTTTATTTGCGGAAACTGTATTCTTTTTCTCAGCAATAGCCGCACAAACAGCAACAATCTCATCACTTTCAAAGTCATAGTCTGGAATTGACTTGGGTGAAAAGTGTGTTACGTCAGCTGGTGCTTCGCTTTTTTTTTTTTTTAATCCTCTGTGCTACCTTCTGCTGCTGCTGGGGTGTTCTTGCCCAGGAGAGGTCTTCTTTCCATATTTCAGGGTTCACTGGAGAGATGTGAAGGGCTACTTGAACTGCCAGGATTATCTCTCCTAATCCAAGTTGAGCACGTCCCAAAGTTTGCCAAGACTCCCATGAATGTGGATTTCACTGCACGGTTATTTCTGCTGCATGCACTGCTGGGAACATTTCATGCAGAGACATTAGCATCTGTGATTTCATCTCGTATAGGGTAGCATCATTTGGGGTTAACTGTCGTACTTTATCTCACTTCTGAATTGCCTACCGGTATCTTTTATTTTCAGCCAAACTGGCTTCTTCATCCTTCAGTTGTTTACGTTTCCCAGCACAGCCTTCAAGAAGAATTTATTGCCAGGCACGGTGCTCACACCTGTAATCCCGGCACTTTGGGAGGCCAAGGCAAGCAGATCACGGGGTCAAGAGATCGAGACTATCCCGGCCAACATGGTGAAACCCCATCTCTACTAAAAATACAAAAATTAGCTGGGCGTGGTGGCATGCACTTGGAGTCCCAACTACTCGGGAGGCTGAGGCAGAAGAATTGCTTGAACCCAGGAGGTGGAGGTTGCAGTGAGTCAAGATTGGGCCACTGCATTCCAGCTTGACAACAGAGTGGAACTCCATCTCAAAAAAAAAAAAGAAATTGCTTTCCTACGTTTAATGGCATGAAGCCAGTTCCCTTCGTCATTGTCAACTGCATCCTTCTCATCAGCAGCTTCAGCTTCAAACTGCTGGGAAGTGACCTTTGAGACCTTCTTGCCAATTTCTTCTTCCACCCAAAGGAAGACATTCTGCCTGCCCTGGATGCCTGGTTTCCTAAGAAACGGGGTTGGCCCACTCTGGGGCATCTGGACAGTCCACAGAAGCGGGCAAAGCCAACTCTTAATCTTTCTCCTCCGCCAGTCCCTTCTCCAGGACCACAAATCCCAGAAAATCAGTGTTTTTAAAGCTGTCCTGTTGATTGTATGTGCAGTCAGGATGGAGGACCAGCCCCCTAGAGATGAGGTGCACAGGCAGCCTCTGTGTTGATTCCATGCTGTTCCTGCCTTCCTTCTGGAGAAGGGAGTCCATGCTTTCCTTCAGAAAGGAACGAACATCTATGCGATAACAAGAGTCAATGACCCTAAGGCATTGTAGACCTCTATCCAGTAGAATCAGACCCGGTCATGATTCAAAGACCTGAGGAAAAGGCAGTACTTCTGGATAGTCTGTTCAAGCCCAGTGGAGGCTTTGCCTTGAGTGATGGATGGTGAGGAGCCCCATCAGTGGTTGAATCATTGCATTAACGCATCAAGGCTCGGGCTCTCTGGCTGGCCATTGAAACTGTGGATGTCATTAGTCTCTTAGCAAGGTGAACTTTGGGTAATATCAAGAAAAGGAATTATGAATCTTGGAATCAGCATTCACCTTCTTAGAGAAAGAAAGGAAGGCAAGAAGGAAAAAGAGTGTCTCCGATTCACATTAGAGCTTTGAGTCCAAGAATTGTAAACATGTATAGGCTGCCAAATCTCACTCTAAATATATTCCAATGATCTCATGTTTTCATATGCAGTGGAATAAAAAGAGGCATTTTTATTCATCTCAGATGACAGCATCTTGAGCTTTTATGGGAGTGTTGTAGCAGTATGAGTTTAACCAAGAGCTGCAGTCAATATTTCAGCCGTTCAGAGTCCCCACAACAGGCATGTTAGACACTGAATGACAATTGTCTTGTCATTGCAACTTGGAGCCTCGAACACGTTCCCAAATGTTAACAGCAAATCCCCCACCCCCAGGGGGAAAATCCCCAATCAAAGATCCTCTGAGGAGAGCCAAGCGAGGCACTGGAGAGAGCAACACGCATATTTTGAGGTGATTAACATCTCGGTTTTGGCCTCCTCATCTGCAAGGGCTTCATCTGTTACTTGTTTTCTCTTTGGCCAAAGAGACCACATCCAGTGTCCCGAAGGAGAAGGCTGGAAATTTTTCGGAAAGCCCTTTTAGGAGAAGCCCAGTGAGAGGGCAAGTGAAGCTTCACTCCTTTTATGGCCAAGATCTCACAGTGTGAGACACAAAAAAGACAGCAAGAGCGAGAGAGCTGGAGTGCGCCCTATCTCCATTCCTCTGCTCCCCGGGGCTGTGGAGCCCATGTGATCCCGACCTTGAGCTGAACAGAATTGATCCAAAAACCAGGGACCCTTTCAGTGGCCCCTGGGGTGCCAGGAAGGTCCAGCACTCCATGTCCTCTCACCCTTGGGGCTAGCCTTCATCCCCCTCTGGCATCTTCTTCCCAGTCCTGCGTGTGCATAAATCAAGCAGCAGGGTAGCACGGAAACATGACGAATACCTTGGCTGGCTCCTGCTTGAAAAGACAAGGGGGGAGGAGAGGGATTCTAAAGTAACCGGGCCTTGGCTGGAAATGCAGCCAGAATTTAGTGTTCCTGGAGCTGGCCCCAGCTGCTCAGACAGGAGCTGCCAGGGGAGCCTTCCCTGGGGGCAGCCCCAGCTCTCCATGCGCTGGAGGAGTTAAAAGCTTTGGTGTCTGTCAAGAACATTATTCAAAAATTCTTGGACACTTCTAAGCCCTTGCTGTGAGCACGGAGACAGGGTGGAGGGAGGCTTTGCCTAGGCTGGGATGGCCCTTGGGTATAGCCCCAGGTTTGAGTGCTGCTATATTCACGGATGTTGCCCCAGAGGTGGGTGTGTGATGCCCATGTGTGCATGTGCATGTGTGTGCATGTATGTAGGGGACCAGTGAGGCAAGAGAGCACACTTAAGGACACGGTTTTAACTACACTGCCAGCTTTCAGTCTGGAGCCTGTGAATGCCGCAGCTGCTGGCATCTCCCTTTCTGTTTCCGGGTTTCACTAGCTCCCTGTGTCTCTGGTCTCTCCGTTCATTCTTTTCAGTGGGTCAGGACCCTGCTGGAATGACTCTTGAAGAGTCTGCTCTGCCCGCCCTGTCCAGGGGCTCCCAGGAGGGAAAGCTGAGGGTTCTAGGCATTTCCCTCCTGCCTCCTCTGTGTGCCAGGCCCACTGCAGGGGGCTCCTAAGTGTCCTGGCTCTCCCGGGAGGTGCCACAGTCAGGACCCCATAAGGGACTAGTTCAGCCTTCAAGGAGCTTCAGGCTAGAGATTCTCTTTGTTTTGTTCTTGAGGGTCATGAAGAGATCATTCCAATTGCCACCGACAAGAGATTCTGGGAGGCACCAGAACACAGCGGAGGGCCACAGAGAGGCTTCTTCCGCCCAGAGCTCTGTAGGGATGAGGCCTCAGATGTGACAGGCTCTGAGCACAGGAGTATTAGCAGCTCAGGAGGGCTGCCTCCCTAAAAAACATTCAGCACGTTAAAATATTCACTGCCTCTCCAAAATCTCAACACTTAAAAGCATTTTTAATGTTTCTTTTTCTTTTTTTTTTTTTAAGGGAAGAAGCACCACAGGGACTCTCACTGCGAAGAAGACAGACCATTATCACCACTCCTCCCCTCTGTTCCCCCAAGGCCCCTCCTGACCACAGCGTCAATCTTCCAGCTGGCTGGTAATTAGCTTTCCCCAGGGCAGGGGCACATCACCAGCTCAGGCCTCCATCCAGGGATTTCCTGTCACCAAAGTTGCACTAATGCAAATCCATTTTTCATTAGGAGAAAATAAAACTCACAAATGACATCAACTGAAAAATGTTCTTTGAGAGCAAGTTATTTCCATTTAAAGCTAAGCACATGACAGCTGGTGACTTTTAATGGAAAGTAAAATTTGCTGGGCTGAATTACTATCAACCCACTTGAGAATTTGTGTTTTTAATTTTCCTTTCTGGAGAAAGGCAGCGCTCTGGAGTCCAGCAGAGCAGATGAGGAATGGAAAGGTCTGGTCTCGTCTCTAATTGCAGCCTCAAAAGACCCGGGACAGTCCTCAGTAAAATCATGTCCCAAGATTTAGTTACATTAATTTTCTTTACCCTGTACTTGAAACTCATTTAATAAGCTGGTTAGAAAACAAACTTTCTGTTTCACCATTTGTTTGGGCCCCCAAAACCAAAACAGTTGTATGTGTACTGAAAACTATCCATATTTTCCCCACTTAATAGAAAATATCTGGTAGAGCAGAACTGGGTGGGCATTTGCTATGGACTGAATGTGCCCCTGCCGTTCATATACTGAAGCCCTAATCCCCGAGTGTGATGGTATTTATTAGGAGGCGGGGCCTCTGGCAAATTTAAATGAGAGCATGAAGGTGGGGCCTCCATTACTGGGTTATTGTCCTTAAGAGGAAGTGACCAGAGCTCACTCTCCCCACCACATGAGGACATAGTCAGGAGGTGGCTGTCTGCAAGCCAAGAAGAGAGCCCTCACCAAAACAGAATCTGCTGGTATCTTGATGTTGGATTTTTTTAGCTTCCAGGACTGTGAGAAATAAATATTTGTTGTTTAAACCACCCAGTCTAACTACAACAGAAGCAGGCTAGAAGGAACTCTGTTACCATGAGCTCCAGGGATGAGCTGTCCATATACCTGTGCTACATCAGACATGAAAGAGGAGTGCTGTGAGACTAGCTTTTTTGTGAACCTGTTTCAGACCAATATGAATTGAGTTCCTCTTATTTTCCAGAATCTTCCAGCACTTCTGGAATCCATATTTGTTATCTATATGGATAACAGCACCTCTGGAATTTGGGGACAAGGTCAAAGGGTGTCAGGATTTGAAGGGGAAGCCATAAGAATCTTCACAATATAATTGAGATTCAACACTTGCAGATGCAACCCACCCTTGGGGTGATTTTGCAAATGCATGGCTGAGGATATCATGGTTTGCTACATCAAGATTAGATAACCCAAAGTTTATTAGAAGATTAAATTACAAAAAGTAATGACAAGGTAACTTGTAGTAAGTCACGTTATTTGATGAGAATTAAAGTGGATAGGCATGAGTCTGTAAGGAGCCTAGAAGAAGAGAGGTGAAGAGTAAGAATCTAGCTAGTGTCTCCCCGGGGGTGTCAGGGAATGGTAAAGACGTTCCAGACTCTACCACAATCTGAGCCACACTCCCCTGAAGACTTTTACCCTGACTCCTGGTTAACAAGCAATTTTCTAAATGCTAATTCAGTTTTTCTGAATAGTAGTTAGAAAGGTGTGTCTCTGGTGGTACATTACTTCAACTCGCATGCTGGTTTTCCCATCCGTCTACTGTGGGAGTTTGGTTGGCCAGAGTCCATTCCTTGAGGCCGGCTCAACGTGGTGTGGGCTGATTACAACATGGAGTTTCTGAAACTTGAGAGTTAAGGGCCAGATCTGGACCCAGGCCTGTTCCAAGCCACAGATGCCCTTTGAGTCTCCGCTTGATCGGGCTGCCAGCCATGGAACATCATTGCTGTCATGGAACACCCCCACAGCTGTCAGGGCTCCCACTCTCGGACACGTTACTGGGTCTGTATTTTGTCTTTCTTCTACAGCTCCTTCCTCCCATTTCTCCTCTCTCAGATTGTGAGACCTTCTGCCGCGGGGTGCTGTCTCTCCTCTTCCACACATGACATGTGTAAGGTCTTGACCACAAGGACACTCAATCTATTGAATGACTTCACCGGCAAAAGATATTTGAAAAGATGATAGGTGCAAATACAATTTATTTATCTTCTTTGAAATCCAACTGTAAAATACACAGTTAAAATGGAAGCTAAAATGTCCTGTTGTTTGATCTTCAGTTTCTGTCTGAATTGAATTGACTCTCCATCCCATCCTACTTCCTTAGAGACAGACAAGAAACTCCTGTCACCACGCCTTTCTGTACTCTGTCCTATGGCTTTGCTTCCATTTAATCTGGCCTCTACTTGCTATTAAGATGTTATTTGGGGCTGATTAGAGTTTGCACTTGTTTAAATTTATTTCCAGTTATATAGTTACAGGTAATCATTTTAGCAAGTCACCATTATGGAACTACAAACCTCTCAATCACCCTGTAACAAAAAATTTGCTGAACTGGAACGTCATGGTAACAGGCCAGGCATGGCGGAGCACACCTGTAGTCCCTGCCACTCGAGAGGCTGAGACAAGAAGATTGCTTGAGCCTAGGAGTTTGAGTCCGCAGTAAGCTACAATTGTGCCTGTGAACAGCCACGGCGCTCCAGCCAGCCGGGGCAACGCATCGAGGCCTCGTCTCTTAAAACAAACAAACAAACAAACAAAAACATTGAAAAAGGAAACTCATAGTAACAGCAGCAGCTGGCTTACCACACGGCCTCAGGAGCCCTGGGAGGAGTGTATGCAGGAAATAAGGGGCTTCAGCCAGAGGCACAAGAGACAGAATTTTGGTTGCAATGATGGCCAGATGTGTGAGTTTGGGCAAGACCCTTCAACCAAGGCTGTTTCCTCATTTATAACAATGCGGGTAACAACCCCTATCTCATGGGGCTGGTGTGAGGGTTACGTAACCTGACATGTGTCAAATCCACAGCACAGGTGCGGCATGTATAGAGGTAGTTAAATGTTAGTTCCTCCTCTCTTTCTAAGTCCAGGACATAAGGGAATGGGACAAGGGAGCTCTTGTGTGAAGACCCTTCCAGTATTCCCAGGACTTGACCTCTATGGAAGGGGTCCAAAAGCATCCTAAATTCCCATTCAGGGGCTCCGCTATAGCTTGGCCCCAAGATATCATAGTATAAACACAAAGAAGGAAGGAAAGTCTGTCTGTACAATTTATAGAATAAGAAACTCTGAAGTCATGCTTCGCCATCAGAATCAAACAACTTATGGCTCTTTTGTTAGGAAGTTTGCTTATGTCCAACTTACCTGATAAGGAGCCCCAGAGAGAGACCACACTTCAAACTTGCTTGATTTCACCTTCAGTTGTCTGCCAGTGTCTAACGTTTCACAGAGAAAGAGGAGAATAGCCACTCTCAATAGCAGGTCTTAGCTGACCAACGGTGCAGAATATTCACGCTGGTCGTTCCCATCTGCTGAGTCATTACAAGCGCCAGGCCTTGTGCTTTGCATCTTCCTTATTCAACCTCACAATAAACTTAGGAAGCAGTTTTCTCATGCTGTTTTTGCAGATGAGGGTGGACAGGAAAGGTTGAGTGATGTGGGCAGTTGAACACGGAGGTAGGGGGGCCAGAGTCCCACTCCCCTCCAAGAAGGGTGCCGTGTCATCAGTGAGGCCCAATGCATCCACTGGCAGATCAGTTAAATCAGCACTACCAGTCCCACTGCCTTGCAGAGGGCAGGGCTCCTGAGCACAGGAGACAGAGAAGCCTTCTTCCTTCAAAATGCCTCTCACTCTTTTCTTACCTGTGCTCCCACTTTGGGACAGACCCTTGCTCTCTCTCTCCCCTGAAGCATAACTGCTTCCTGCCTGGTCTCCCAGCTTCCAACTCCTTCTTCTGGCACTTAAAAGTCCACAGCAATTTGGCTCCAACCTACTTTTCCACCTGTATGTGTTGCCACTTCTCAATGTGAGCTCTTCCCAGACTCAACTGTATACTTCCAGTTCTTCCTTGCAATTCTTCTCCTCTGGTCCTAAATCCTACCTACGCATGAACCTCTCCTATTCCCCTTGGCCTCCCCTGGCCTGTTTCTCCTGAATAGGAAGAACTTTCCTAGTCTAGCATGGGCATCCAGTGCATTTATGCAACTCAGGATTGCTTGTGTTCACCACTCTGTTTTGTGTTTGTAGTGAGGCTGTAAAACTCCAGGGACCAGATGCAGCACAGTGCAAGGCCTCCTGGGAGGCTCTGTCCCAGAAACAGACATTGAAAAAAAAAGTTATATTTACATGTTGACAGAGCAAGGATTTCTTCAGCTGGAAACTGTCATTAGCAAGGAAAATTAAAGTTAAGAAGCTGCTGGGTTGTTCTTTATTTCTTTGAGTTTCATAATAAATCACAAAGCCATTTGCTGAGCTTTTGTGCAGCTGGTTCTGAGCACCAAAATTCAAGTTACAGCTCTGAAAGCCAGTGTCCACCAGGGCTGAGAATGAGACCAGCGTTTGAACCCTGGCTCCACTTCCTTACTGGGTGGCTATAGGCAAATTCTTTAACCTCTCCAAATTTTCTGGTTGTAATACGTGAAGCAGTATCTCTACTGTATAGGGTTGTTACAAAGAATAAATTTAGATACTGTGTATAGGCTGGGTGTGGTGGCTCACGCCTGTAATCCCAGCACTTTGGGAGGCTGAGGTGGGCAGATCACGAGGGCAAGAGATGGAGACCCGCCTGGCCAACATGGTGAAACCCCTTTTCTACTAAAAATACAAAAATTAGCTGTGCATGGTGGCACGCACCTGTAGTCCCAGCTTCTTGGGAAGCTGAGGCAGAAGAATCGCTTGAACCTGGGAGGCGGAGGTTGCAGTGAGCTGAGATTGAGCCACTGCATTCCAGCCTGGGCTACAAGAGTGACATTCATCTAAAAAAAAAAAAAAAACAAAGAGAGAGCGAGAGAGATACTATGTATAAAAAAAGCTTAGAACCCAAGACATTAGAACCAATGACTATATGATGAATCAAATTGGCTTACTTTCATAAAGTACATTGGGAGGTTAGAATGGTATTGGTAGGAGTGTAGTGAGGACCTGAAGTAGGGTGAACAGGACCATGGCTGCCCGGTTGCCTTTGCTTAGGATGGGTATGGGCTCCAGGTGCAGGGACTGGGCGATGGGGAGGCAGGTGCAACTGGACAGGGCAGTGTGTTGCTTCTTTCCAGGGACCTCAGGGGACACTACCTGCTAACTGTGGGTTCCCCTCCCCCTCCCCAGAACCTAGAGCAGTTCAGCACATACTGGTTTTCACTGAACATTCCCAAGTACTCACTTTCCAAGAATCAAAGAAAGAAGCAGTTCTTTCTAGACTGACTTGCTAAGCAAAAAATGGATAATTAAGATGTTGGAAGGAAGTCACTGGCAAAAGTCCAAGGAGCTGCTTTTCTTAAACCCTGCACGGAGGTGCAAGGGGTGACATATTTTGACAGCTATTACATAGCTCAGGGCAGATGGAAGAACAACAAGTACAAAAGAGAACTTGATGTTGGCTTTGGCCAAAGAGAACTTTTGGCTTTGTTTGGCAACTGTTTACTGGATACCATAGTAGCATGCTTGCCCTGGTGTGGTGTGAGAGCTGCCCCTCAGCCAGTGACGGAGAATGAAAATACTTGAGAGTAAAAGCCTAATTATTTTAAAACACATCAAAACAAAAGCAAAGAGGGAAACAATCTGGCTTTAACATTTATGACATTCCAGAGTCTCTGAAGAAGCTGGTACTGCTAACGAATGGAAGGCAGGGCCCCAAAGGAGCAAAGGACGTGGCTGCTTCCCCAGGGTCTGCTGAGGGGGCCAAACTGACCCCAAGAGGCAGCTTGTCAGCCCCACAGCTGACTTGAGAACCAGTGGGGCTCTGGGTCTGGTTTACCAAAATAAAGGGACAGAATGTTCCTTCTCCAGCAGAGCTGCTGCTGGTGGGGCTCGGGGCAGAGGCGGCTCAGAGCCCTCTGAGATGTAAGGACACTGCTTTGCTTTGCCAGGGAACCCTGGTTTGGTTTCGGGGTATTTCATCTTTACGGACTGTGAAGGTCCCATTTGTTCTCTGCTTTAATAAAAATAACACAAGAAATAGGTGTTTCTCTCGAGACCACTGATCAATACCATCTGATTATTGTTTTAAAAATTAATAAATTGGGCTACACAAGCAGAAATCTATTTTTTTAAGCTATATTATTCCTTACCAGCACATGTAAAATTCTTAAAGGTGGCTGGCTTTTTTTCCCCTTTCTCCCTCCTTTTCTCTTCCCTCCCTCTTCACTCTCCCTTTTCTTTCTCTCCTTTTTTTTCTTCTTCCCCATCCTTCTCCCATTTTTCTTTTTTCTCTTTCTCAAAAGTCCAGAAGTAAGGCTCTTGTAGGGTTAGCTCAGCAGCACGAGAAAATCATTATGGGCCTCGGTTCTTTCCATCTTTCCCTTGTGTTCTCTGAGGACGAGCTTTGCTCTCAGGTCAGCTTCTCTCTCGGTCATAAGATGGGAGGCCCAATTCTAGGCATCACATGACAACACCTCTTTTGGTAAAGAAATATCAGTCAAAAGACTGTAGGGGCTGGGTGCGGTGGCTCATGCCTGTAATCCCAGCACATTGGGAGGCTGAGGCGGGTGGATCATCTGAGGTCAGGAGTTTACAACCAACCCGGCCAACATGGTGAAACCTCATCTCTACTAAAAATATAAAAAATTAGCTGGGTGTGGTGGTGCATGCCTGTAATCCTAGCTACTCAAGAGGCTGAGACACAAGAATCACTTGAACCCGGAGGTGGAGGCTGCAGTGAGCCGAGATTGCGCCATTGCACAATTGCCTCGGCAACAAAGCAAAACTCCGTCTCCAAAAAAAAAAAAAAAAAAAAAAAGGGATTATAGGGAGTGGTAGGGACTATAGTGAACTGGAGAGGACATGGCCTTACCTAATGCGTTCAAATACAAAACAATTTTTTTTTCTGTTGTTTCAGAATATTTTGTTACTGTCAGGGAGGGGGAAAGAGAATTATAGATGTTTTCAAATAACCCTTTTGCGAGTAACTACATTGTTGCAAGCAGTCAAAACATTATTGTTAATGTTCCAATTTTGCAGAGGTCCACAGGGGAGGTGAGGTGATCTGCCCCAGATGGAATTGTTACAGGAAAGGGGTCCTGATCCGGACCCCAAGAGTGGGCTCTTGGGTCTTGTGCAAGAAAGAGTTCAGGGCCAGTCCATAGAGTAAAGTGAAAACAAGTTTACTAAGAAATTAGAGGAATAAAGAATGGCTACTCCATAGGCAGAGCAGCCTCAAGGGCTGCCGGTTGCCCATTTTTAGGATTATTTCTTGATAATATACTAAACAAGGGGTGGATTATTCATGCTTTCCCTTTTTAGACCATATAGGGTAGCTTCCTAACATTGCCATGGCATTTGTAAACTGTCAGGGCCCTAGTGGGAGTGTAGCAGTGAGGACGACCAGGGGTCACTCTCATGGCTGTCTTGGTTTCGGTGGGTTTTGGTCGGCTTTTTTACTGCAACCTGTTTTATCAGCAAGGTCTTTATGATTTGTATCTTGTGCCGACGCCCATCTCATTCTGTGACTTGGAATGCCTTAACTGTCTGGGAATGTGGCTGCCCAATAGGTCTTAGTCTTATTTTTCCCAACCCGTACTCAAGATGGAGTTGCTGTGGTTCAAACAACTCTAACAGAATGGGAATAAAGACATCGTCAGTCCCAGGCTTGCTCTGCTGCTTCGCAGCTGCTCAGGAAACTTGCTGCTGCCCAGGTGTGAGCTCTACCTCCTTCGCAAGATCCTGAGCTTCCTCAGGGTTGGGTGGTGTCTTCTTTTGTCTCTCCCATCCCCCCCAACTCATTCAGTCATATCAATGGGACCCTATTCACATTGACACATAGCTCAGGATGGATCCTCTGATGCTTCACTTTATTTTTTTTTTCTTTGGGACGGAGTTTCGCTCTTGTTACCCAGGATGGAGTGCAATGGCGCGATCTCGGCTCACCGCAACCTCCGCCTCCTGGGTTCAGGCAGTTCTCCTGCCTCAGCCTCCTGAGTCGCTGGGATTACAGGCACACGCCACCATGCCCAGCTAATTTTTTGTAGTTTTAGTAGAGACAGGGTTTCACCGTGTTCACCAGGATGGTCTTGATCTCTTGATCTCGTGATCCACCCGCCTCGGCCTCCCAAAGTGCTGGGATTACAGGCGTGAGCCACCGCGCCCGGTCTGATGCTTCCCTTTCTAATCCAATTTCTAATTTCTGTGTTTTAATAAGACCTCCAGGGATTCTGTTGCCCTCTAAACTTTGAGAACACTGTCCTAAAGTCTCAGTAATGCTTACAGACCAACAATCTAAATACTGGTTCTCAGCCTGAGCTAGATATTGAAGTCACCTGCGGAGCTTTCAAAAATGATGCCTGGGTCCTAGCCTGGCCTCCCGCCCACAAATTCTGATAGAATTGTTCCGGTGTATACCTTGAGAACTGGGACTTTTAAAAGCTCCCTAGGTGATTTTAAATTGTAGCCAAACTTAAGAACCACTGATCTAAATAAAATATGAAGGGGGACAACAACACTGTAAATAAAGTAGAAATCCAAAAGTGAGACACACACTGACAAAGAAAGAAAAGGCTAACATGAAAGATTAAACCTCTAACAACAGAAGCACAAGGGAAGAGAGATTATTTGGTTTAGGCACTACTGTAGATATTTCACTTCCATGTTTAAATGAGCCTGGAAAGCTCATCACCTCCTTCAGGAACAGGTGTATACATAGATGGTTTCTAAATTGCTGTGGGTCAGTGTTACTGGAAAAGTCCTCTTTACTGTTTCAAAATACACAGCTCAGTATGTTATGAAACACTCTCATCATTTGATACGTTCTCTTAAGGTTCTTTTCCCTTTTCTGTGAGGTCAGAGTGAGGGAGTGGGTCAAATAAGATGGGCTGTAACAGGGAACCTCCTGTCACTTTCAAACAATAGTAAGATGTGCCCCTGGAAAGTCCCATGACTGGCAGAAGCCCACCTACCACCAGTCAGCTCAGAGACCAAAGGGCACCGGAGACTAACCAATGTGAACACAGAATAAAAGGCTCTTTTCAGAGAAGGAAAAACGTAGAGACAAAATGAGTCCTTCAAGAGGGGAATCAGTTTTCAGTAAAAGCAAGGAAGCACACAGAATGTGCTACTCAAATGCAGTACACCATTTTGATTTGGAATGAGACAGAACTTACATTAACTAGAAGTTAATACAAGTTAGTCTAGAATCAGAGGTCTCAATTCAAACTGCACCAGGCCACTCTGGATATTTTCTTAGGCTAACTCAAAGATCCAGGGAGATACAACCACACTCAAAAGGGTAGTCATTTCTCTTTTAAAATGGAAATACTAATCCCATGTTTGTGTGGTAAAGATTTGTTAAAACATCGTTTAGGTTACATAAAGTCATAAAACACGGCTACTAGAGAACTTAATGGCTGGCAGGGTGTTTGTTGATTGCACCTACTGTTAATTGCTTACAAATCTCCAGGTTTCTCTTCTACACTCAAAAAATGTCCATTTTTCACATTAAAATCTCAGAATAGTTTCTTGCAATAAAAATGACAACATGCAAGCCGGGCTGTGTGGCTCATGCCTGTAATCCTAGCACTTTGGGAGGTTGAGGTGGGTGGATCACCTGAGGTCAGGAGTTCAAGACCAGCCTGGCCATCATGGTGAAAACCCA